AGTCGTATTATTGCATAAACTCAATTATGATAATTAAATGGAGGTTTAAATGATAATTGTTATAACGGTACGAAGAGAGGAATAGGGAAAATTATAATAATTGAGAATATTATTAGCACAAACATATATAAGTTTTCGTGTGTTCAATGAGATATCGGTTTCACACCAAATATTTTACAGACGTGCTAACTGAAAATTTTAATTCATTCGTTAGATACATCGGCAAGTAGAAAAACGTGAGTATTTTATTTAGAGGCGGAATAAACTGCGCGGGCGTTATAGAACATCTCGAAATATCATAAATCAAAGAAGGAAAAGGTAAAGGAAAAAAAAAAATAATAATACGCGCGATCATAAATCAATCTGTTATTTTAGTATTTATAGCGCGTGCATTTGTACATGACCATCGGTCATGCGCGAGGACACGTGTGACAATCCGTTTTACTTAAATCATACACAACGGAAATTTGACGTCGTTCATAATCCGTCAAAAAAGAACGAAAGGAAAGAAAGCGAGCGAGCGAGCGAACGAGCGAGCAAGCGAGAGAGAGAGAGAGAGAGAGAGAGAGAGAGAGAGAGAGAGAGAGAGAGAGAGAGAGAGAGAGAGAGAGAGAGAGAGAGAGAGACAGAGAGACGGAAAACGGGACAAGCGTAAATACCATAGCGAATCACAAACGTCTCTTCATTATACGGTTTTCAAGTAAGGTCGTACCGAGCACTCGACACTTAATTCTTCCTCTCGGCCAGAAATCCTCTTGATAACATTGATTTTCCTACCACAGAGAGACAAGAATCACGTCGTTCTTCGATTACGTGTTCTTTCTAGCGAAAGAAATGCCCATCGTGAGAAGCTCTACGTTCGCATTTACCCTGAGTGACGAGAAACCTCAAAACAATAACAGCGAAAACGAGCGATTCTGTGAAAGTAGCTGCCTCGACGCTTTACTTTTGAAGCAAGTGTGGTTTTATTTATGATGCGCGGCACGTTATTAAGCAAATACCAGAGATACTTCAATAATATAATAATTTAATTATTACATCTATATTCTTCATATATTTTATAATTTGTTATATAGTTCGTTAAAACAGTATTAGTTATCTTTACTTTATAATCATTCTTTAAAAATATCTAAAAAGTAACTAAAAATATAAGACTTAATAAAAAAATTTAGTTTTGCATATAACTTTTAAAACATGTTTATAATAAAAAATTTATATCGCTTATATATTATTTATATAAGAGACATTGATCAAAAAAGAATATTCACGTTTACACTTCACTTCCTTCTTGATCTTACGTAAATGTTTTTAATTCTGTATTTGACTATAATTCGTATTATATAACTTTTTTAATTTCTTTATTGTAATGCCGATGGCTTCTATTCATACGTTTTACATTTTATGTTATAAATTTATGTTTTAAAATCAAGAGAAACTCAACAAGTAAGTTTTGGTAAAAGAAACTTAATTTTTTACAAAATATATATTGCATACATATATATATATATATACATATATATATGCAATATATATGCATTTACAAGAAACTACTATCAACTCTAAAAAAAAGAAATATCTACATAAAAAGTAATTTGTTTTATTGCCAAGAAAAGCGATTTTTTTTTTAAAGCTATGATACATAATACTCTCCTTCATATCACGCATCATTATTTCATATTCTCGGCTACATCTTGTCAGGCAGCCTTTCGTCTTGTGCGATCGATACTTTTTTCACGGCGCGAGAAAAAAAGTCAATGAATTCCAATGCGTCATCCTCTCGACGAAAACTCTGGTATGTTGCAAGTGTAATTGCGTTCCTGTTGCTGTGATATACAAAGTATATACAAAAGAGATCGTGTTGAGCTAAAAAACTAAATGTAACACCTTACTGTATCTTCTTAGACAAAATAAATTATAAATAAGATAAAAGAGATATAAAGGAGCGTATTATTTCTTAAATTATGATATTTCTGTGCAAATTTTTTTTTATATCTCAATCAAATAACAAATCTTGTAAGATTTGACATATCCTGTGATGACTTATTTCCCACTATTTAATAGAATAATAATAACTGTGTATAGTTTTTAATTTCATAAGAATATAAATAGTTCTATATTATAAAGTTTAAATATCATTTTTTGAAATTGTAATACTCAAAATTAATGTAATTTCTTAATAGACAAACATATGAAAAAGAGCATAGTATTAAAAAATAGTAAAAAATAAAAGAATGAAATAGATCGAAATATAATAATACCGCGATTTGTACAAATTCTGTTGTCGAGTCTCAAAGTTTTATGACTTTGGCTTTTGTCATATGGACGGCATTCAATCTTGGATCTTCCAATCTCATCTATCTTTATCCTAGACGATCGACTTTTCCTAATATGACTTTTTCCTAATACGTTATAAGAAAAACACGTGAGAAAGATAGCGCAAATTTATTGTGTCACCTTGCAAAATTACATCATGTCATTGCATCAAGTTATATAAAAAACATCAATGTTCAAGAAATGAATTTTAAAAGTATAACTACTAAATATTATATGAAACATTTCTTTTGTAAAACGTATATTATAATTGAAAAAAATTGCAATCTATTAAAAAAAATCTTTCTTTCTTTTTAACAAGTAGATTATTATTTTTTTAATTATAAGTATTAACAATTTAGTTGTATAACATTTTTCTATAAATAAATATAGAATTATTAATATATACAACATTTACATATATTATTTAGTCATAACTTATGTTATTTGTATAATCTTTTTTAATATAATGTTAAAAATAATATAATGTTTATAAGACTTGTAAATTTTGCGCGGTCTATTTTTCACTTTTTACGAGATAGTGATATTACGTTTCTTAAAATATTCAATTAGTGTCTTTGCATTTAATGAAGATGAACGCTCAAACAGCGTCGGAACCGCAAACGTTATCAAGTTACTTGCAAAATCGAATCCAGCTTGCAGCTAACGCACGCGTAGAAAATTTCCTTCACTCGAAGATGTTTGTAACTGAAGCTGTATATATCTTACAATTAACAGTAATTTAACAAATTTATTATAAACTTATTTATTTATAAAATTATAAGACATATTTCTATTAAGTAATAGATATTAATCATTAAAAATAATGCTAAATTAAAATTTGCAATAATTTCATTGTTATACTCATAACTTCAGCACTTCGTTGTTATATTAAACTCATAATTAAAAGGAAATTCTTCTATTTCATATAAGTCAAAGGAGGAGAGTTTCTCAAAAAAGATGAAGGATTGGTGCAAGATGCAAGTAATATCTGCTTCATGCTCTTTATATCTTCATTTTGTGCTATATATTGTGAAAATATAAGTAAATTGAATTTCCATTTGAGATTCATAATATTAAGCCGATTATTTTTGCTTAATGTGGAAGTAATGTAATAAGGGAAGACTCAGTTGGAATAATATAACAACCATTATCGATAATGGATAGAAGAATATTATAAAATAAGTTTAAAAATTAGTTAATAAAATTCTTTCTATCTAATAAAATATGAAATTTTATGCGATAAGTGATGAGAGCTCTAATAGCAATAATACACATATTAATAAAATTGTCTTCAATTTCTGTTTTTAAACCAATCTTTAAAATTAAAATGCATGAAAATTAAATAAGATATTTTTTAAGCATTAAAAATTGTTTAATATATAATGCAAGATTTTACATATTTATTTTATATATAATAAATAACTTATTTTTTTACAATAATATAATATGTCTTGTTTCAGCACGAAGAGATGAATACACTAAACCTTGTATCTCAGGATATTTACAAAAGTAGTAAAATCCAAGTTTGTGCGGACATGCATTCAACATTTTTCATAAGACTCTTATCTACATATGCTTAGTATTTGATCCGATTGATGAACCACCATTCACTGAACACTAAAGTTTCAGTAACTCACATCTTTAGAAAAAAATGGGCTTGACTTATTCGTGTATCAGGATCTTCAATCATTTAAGCACCGATTTCAAAGCCATAATAATTATATTGTAAAAGTATATTATTGTATAATATAAATCAGTAAGCTTTGTGAGTATATAAATAGCTTGAAATTAAAGAAAGTTAGTTATAATTAAAGAAAATATAATTAAATATATAATATAATTAAAGAAAAATAGTTTTTTCAAATTTATTTATTGATAAAAACAAGAATTTTACTTTAGCTTTAGCTAACATTCTAATTTTATCAAAATTTGACAAACTTCTTTTTATACAATATATAAGAAAACGAAACAAAAGTTAGAATATAATAAAATATAGAAATAATATTGTGTTTTATGCAAAAAAAGTATGAAAACAAAACCTTATTTTTAACCATGTTCAAAATATCTATTAATATTATCTTTTTAAAACTATAATATCATTACAGCTTTTATAAATGTAATCATAATATTTTACATCACAATATTTTATTATTTGTTATCATTCTATTATTATTGTTATTTCTTATTCACATCACGATATTTTTCTGTTCATAATACTTTATTATCTGTTATTATTCTTGTTATTTCTTACTTATAATACTTTATTATCTGTTATTATTATTGTTATTTCTTACTTTAATGTTATATATCAATTTGTTATACAATTATAAAAAAATGTAAAGATTATAGTAATAACAATTAAATAATGTAAATTAATTATTAGATCGTTAACAATAAAAAAGATATAATGAATATATGTATTATTTTTAATTATACCTTTGCATATAAACAATGTTTTTATAATAGATAATTATTATTAATAAAAAGTTAGAAGAAACTATTTATTATATTATGTAGAAATTAATTTAATTAATAAATAATATATTATATTTATCTCGATATGTTTTATTAAAAATTTCATATACTTGCTTCAGGAAATACTCTTTTATTTTATTAAAACAATATAAATATTAATTAAAATTTAAGCAATATCTCATCTTAAATAACTTATTAATTTCTTAACTTACCTGCACGTGGATGATTATAGTCCGTGATCTTTTCTTGATTTCTTTAGAGCAACATGTATTCGTCGCGTTGTATGAAATCTATGATTTTAGCATTCTCAACGTAAGAAATATTTTACTTTGCACGATGTAAGCTTGTCATTTTGGATTTCCATTATGGACACAATTGTGGTTTTTGAATACATCTTCTTACTATTCAGTAGTGAATTGATAAAACAGATTGTCAGACTGAAGAATCATACAATGGATTTACGAAATAAAAGATTATATCGTTGTCGGCTCATCTCTTTCTTAATACCAAAGATTTCTATTTCGCTGAACCTCGTGACATTCGTTCAGTTGTGCTCTCACTTATCCTCGTAAATGATGTATTCTCTTTGACGGAATCCCTTGTTCGTTTCACGTCATAATGATAATATCCGCAAATATAGTACAGACTCGAATTATTCGCTCTATCTCTTCTTTATGCAATATTTCTAATAATTGTAACAATATTACTGATAAAGCGATAATTGGATAAAACGAACTTTTCGTCAGTTATTTATCTTTAAAATTTTTAACGGTCGACAATCCTTTCTCCGTCTTTGAGTAGTGACAGTTATGAATGCTGTCAGCTGGACGTACTTGTGACAAATTGCTCCGTCACCAGGACGTGTCGGAGGAATCTTCGCCCGGGAGAAATTCTCTCGTTGCTAGCACGCGGTGCAAGATGTAAGAAACGAAGATAACTTCTAAAGCACACGTGGAGCGAACGTGCGTACTATATGCGTGGGTGGTAGCGTACTACTGAGTTTCACGTTCGCGAAAAGCCAATCCCGACTCACCCCCACCGCATCGCATCCTAGGCACCCTTCCAGGTCCTCAGCATCCTCTTGCTTCCCCGTTTTACCACCCAGAATCCGCGCACAGTCTCTCTCTCTCTC